GGAAAAAAAAAAAAAAAAAAAAAAAAAAAAAAAAAAAAACACATCATAGTAAAACCAATACCTTTTCAGCTTCGCATCGAAACTAAAAACATATTGACAGTTGTAGAAAATCAAATTTCATTAGAACCTTCAACGTCAAACACTTTTATGGACCAAATTTTTCCAACATCAAGTAATAATATATCAATAGCCCAAAAGATATAATATCTATTATTTCAATTCAATTAATACAATATAAAACTAACAATACAATTTGTGTTACAAAAGACAGAGTTCCTCGTCTTAGAGCAACAAAGTATGGTGAAGTTTTAACAAATAAAGTTGTGTTAAAATAATTGGAGGAAGCAACCTTAAAGAAAAAGCTAATCAAATATCCTAGTAAACGTGGGAGACCTAAGAAGGCTATAAAAATGCACAAAATATTGTGTTGGAACAATCAGTTGATAATATTGATGACGTAGTTTATCATTCATCAGAAGATGATTGTAATGACAATTCATTAAATTTAAGTATTGAAGGAGTTTTATACAATACACCAATTTGGTCTCAAATAAAACCTGGAGTATTTCTTTTAATAGATTTTATTGGAGGGAACCGTAAGAAACAACATTTTAAGTATGTTTGTTTAGTTAAACGTGTAGATGAAGATGATGGGGATATTTTAGTCCAAGGATTAAAAAAAAAATAATGAAATTGGAACTGATTTTTATATTGTTGAAAATGACTTGTCAGATATTACAGTAGAGATGATTCTTGCAATATTACCAATACCAACTGAACATAAGAAGAACAGAAAAACGATATACACGATACATAAATGTCAATGAAAAATAATCAGTTTAGGCACTATGTTACCTACTTATTCATACATTAATTTATGTGATATATTTTAAAACTAAAAATGCTGTTAGTTTGTTATTCTGTTTATAATTTTTATTTTACATTATTTTTTATGTTAAATTATTATTATCACTATTATATGTAAACAAAAGACATTTAATATATTTTGAAAGTTTATGAAATAGTAAGTAAGCATTAAATTGTACTAAATTATGTTAAAATAATAAAGATTACATAATTATTTGACTAATTTAATTGTAATTTATGTAATTCAAACAAATTTTCATTTGCCCCAGACTTATAACATTATCAACTATACTTTAATTTTCTCATATCCCATACACAATATACTATTTGGGGCAAATGGAAATTTGTAGGTATCGAATATATGAAATAATATAATGATAGCTGTAACAGAACAATTTCATTTGCCCATTATGTTTGTTTAGTATAACACTTGCTGTTGGAAATAGTTTTTTCATTTACCCCAGAAGTATGGAGCAAATGTAAATTTTTTATGCAATTTTATATATTTTTTTCTCTTAAAATAATCAAATATTTTAACGTTTGATTGAAATGTTAGACACATATTGTATATAGTTAAATAGTTTTTATCTAAACCAAAATTTAAAAAAATTATTACTATATGAATCTAATAAACGTTGTAAAACATGTAAATTTAATTTCTATTTACCCCACTTGACCCTATGTATAATTTTAATACGTACTTTTGACTCTTTTTTATCAAAAAATTATTATAATCTTCATCCATAATTTGTTTGCATTCCATTCTTACCAAAAAATTGGAGTCTAAAATAATTTTTAAATTTATTATAATCTTTACTCAAATAAATTTATCAGCTAATTTACAAAAATGGAATTTATACTTTTTAATTTTTAAATAAATCATTAAAGAAATACAAAATAATTTGAAACAAAATTTCAGTTTCCTTAAAATGTAAGATTAACATAAATCATGCTGTCAAAATATTTGATTTCTCTACAATAGTAATTTAATTAACAGAATATTTTTTTTTTTGTAAATTGGCCTTTTTAGACCATATTCAAGATTAAAAAATGGATTATATAAATAGTTTATGATTAATCTCTAGGCAAATAAAAATAAAAGTTAAGACTCTTAGTGTTTCAAGCAAGTATAATAGGTTGTAATATAAATAGATACAATTATGTCAGGCTTTTATGTATTAATAACGAAGTATGAATTTTTCACTTGAAATTAACGTATCTTGTTAATAAAATAATATTAATGACTTAAAGTATTAATCATATATTATTTATTGAATATCTTTACCTGTAAATACGTCGTCACTCATGCAATTTTCACTATCCATTTCTCTAAGTTCTTTAAATATCAAAAGAGAGTAATAAAAAACGTCAATACTAATCAAAAGATTATTAAAAATTGAAGCAGTAAAATATATTTAATATATTAAATTGAACAATTTGTAGTCATAGGTTTATAACAATTAGTTTATTTCAATGATATAATAATTATTTATATAATAAATAAACATTTATTTTGTTATTTAACATTTTTAATAAGGCCAGCTCATAAAAAACCAAATAAAGTCAGAACCTATCATTGTGATGATCTTGCATATTGGATTCAAATATATGAGATATATCGTACATAGATATCTGATAGTAATTAGTATTGCTATCAGATATATCTTACATAGATATTTGATAGTAATTAGTATTACTTAGGGATAGGATATCGAAAGAAAGTATCGATACTTAGTATTGAAACTAGTATCAAATACAAATATTGATATCAGTAAAATATCGAAACAAATGTATCGATATCAGTAAGTATCGAATCATTTTATAAACCTATATTTCACAGTATCAAATTATACTGTATGGAATTATGAAATATTGTAATTTTAGGATTCGATTCCTACTGATATCGATACTAATGAATGTTAAAAATATTTGTATAATTAGTACCAATGGGCAATGACTATAGTCATTACTCTGTTATTTCTATTTCTATCCACTAGTAAAAACCAAATATTTGCAATTATATAAATAAAAGCCTAAATATACGTAATTAATTTTAAATATAAATTGTCTTTTATTATTTATTATAGATTAATTTATACAAAATACTAATAATATTATAATTTATAATTGGTCATTATTAGCCAGTCTTCACATAGGTACATAAAAAAAATAATATATAAAAAATATAATTAAAACCAATCTTCCTCTGGGATAAGAGATAACAATAATATTTTTTGAAGGCGAGAACTAGTTAAACGATTTCTAGATTTGGTTAATGTTGCTCCAGCATTTGAAAAAAGTCGTTCGCAAGGAACAGATGTTGCAACCATGGTGAAATGCAAACTCGCTTGTTTATACAAAATAGGAAATACGTGTTTCATATCCTCCGATATTTCAAGAGGATCAGACTTCAGGGTTGATACTGGATTTGATAAGTATAACGATAACTCATCGTTCATAAAAGTTGTGGTCTTTTTCTTTTTTTGGCCATGAACCAAATATTTATGATGTGCCCAAAAATCGAAGTTGTCTGTTTTAGAATGTTCTCCTTCTGACTCACTAGAAGAAATGGTGTCCAATTTTGACAACTTTGTTAAATCTGCTATCGCACTTGAACAGGCTACTAGATCATTAAAATGTAAATTTTTAAATCTTGGGTCCAGAAATGTAGCAATTGCAATTGGTTTGACTTGTTCAATCATTCCAAATCTTCGAGTCAGTTCAGCATGTAATAAGTCTTTAATTTCACAAATTACCTCAAAATATGGTTTAATTTATGTTAATTGTTTTTGCAAGCAGTTGATCAGAGTTCCATCGTGTTGGAACATCTAATATTAATTTTTTCATTGACCCTTCTGGAACTCCGTTTTCCAACTGCTTCTTTCTTAAAAGATCACTAACTCTCACGCTATTTTTCACCCACTTTACGATATTTCGAACTTTAGAAATAATAGGTTTAATATTTTTTTGCCCTACTATATGTATTGCAACTAAATTGATGGTATGAGCAAAACAAGGAATGTGTCGGTGTTTACCAAAAGTTTTGTGAACAGCAGAAACAACATTTGCACCATTGTCAGTCACAATACTTACAATTTTTTCTTGATTTGTTTCCCAATCTGATAAAATTTTTTCTAACTGTTCACTAATATATTGACCAGTATGCCGCTCTTTTAACTCAGTAACTGTCAAACAAAATGATTTCAGAGAAATGTCTTCTAAGAAATGTACGGTGATACCAAAAAACTTTTTTCTGACATTGTCTCTGTCCATGTATCGAATTTCAGAGATACATGAGGTGAATTTGACAAACGCAATTTTAATGCAGCTATAATAACCTCATATTTATTATCAAGGGCATTTTTTATAATTTTAATAGAGGGAATTTTGTATGATGGTGCATTTCTTTAATGAACCGTCTAAATCCTTTTCCTTCTACTACAGAAAATGGACGGTAATATTTACAAATAAAGTAAAGTAATAGTTATTTTACGAAAATGATGACCACCTTCTGAAATATAAAAATAAAGTATTGATATTAATAACGTAAACAACAATAAATTATGATGATAAACATACCTGCATATGAGTTAATTTTTTGAAAAGCTTCAACAATAGGGTGTTTTAGCCGTTGTAGAGCCTGTGGTGGATCGTCTACACATTCCTAAAAACAAATTAATTATTAGATACAAATCTAAGAATAATCATGTGATTATTTAATTTTGTAAAAATAGTTATGTATTCATTGCTTATCAAAGTATCGATAAACCAGTCCGATGATAACAATTATTTTATATTTTTTAAGTTATTGCCGTACCACAGAAAATTAGATGCCTATTATATAAATACAAATACACAAACACACTATATATATAATTATACAACATATATAATAATTAATAATTATTACCTCTGGCTCAGAGTCTTCCATACAAAGCGTTAGTTGTCGCGACTGAGTTTTCGATGAGCAAGTTTCTGGCAATGTAGGCAATGGCGATACAGAACTACAAAAAATATATAAACATCAGTGTTTGATAGAGTAACATTACTTATAATTGAATCAGTTATTTTAAAAACAACATAAGTCATAAAATTGAAATTTTACACAAATTATAAATAACTTAATAATAACTTCATAAATTTACATTTGTTTGTATATTTACTTATATATAAATTTATTTTGCGAGTCTGTGATATTCATTATTTATGGTTTTAAATAGTGTATTTTTAATTACATTTATAAAATAATGACATGTTGTTTTTGAAATTACCGATTCAATTTCAATAAAAAATAAATAAACAATTTAATAAGTTATTTACTTTTGAGTGATAGTCAATTTTGACTGTTTGACTATGGACGATTTAGTATTAGTCAAATTTGAATGTTTTTTATATGTTTGGATAAATTTGAAGCATTGCCACAATAGCGTACTTCTTGTGAACAATGTTTGCATAATGCAAGAACAGCGTCAACTTTTTTAAAATATATCCAAACTTTGCTCTTTGGAGGAGACATAATTTTTTGAAAAATAATTTAATAAACAAAATATTTAAAAAATGTAAAAAAAAAGGAGCGGTCGCACACGTGCAAATCAATCGAAAATTAATAACGTACAAGGTTAATAATTTTAATAATAACTTATTAATGTTATTTAGAGCATTCGTGTATGTCCCCGATTTCATAGTACCTGTCTATATCACAGACTATATGAAAATATATGTATATAGTCTGTGCGACTGTGCCTATACGGCTATACAGAATGTTTGATATTTCTTGCCTTCTCAGTAAACGGGCATTTAATTACACCGATTAGGAAATCTATTGTATTGTAATTTGTGGACTGTGGTCGGTGGTTCAAAATAGATTGTTCGATACGAGTACTTTTAAACCGTTATGGCGGTAAATGATTCGATACTATTTATTCGGTACCAATACTTTTTTATCGATATGAATAAAGTATCGAAAGAATTGTATCGATACAAAAAGTACTTGTATCGAAAGAAAAGTATCGATACTTTATTCTAATACGTATCCAATAGCACGCACTAGCACTATATATATATCTAATATTATAAGTATAGTTTTACAATAACTATAACGAGAAGACCACTCGCAACAACGCGAACAAATTAATTCAATATTACGCGAGTCAATTACAATTGTCGTAATCGGTTGTTTTGTTTTATTTTAAACAATTTCCATAGTTATATAAGGCACAGGTAAACTGCGATTTTTCCAAGTCGCACCCAAACACAAACTTAAAAAAACGGCGAAAAAGGTACACTCCAAAAACTCTAACCAGTTACGGTGTACGTCGAAAAACGGAACAGAACGCAATATCGGTAATCCATATTCGGCAGCGGCCTTATCTCGGTGACAAGGGCGGGGAGACAACCGATGACAACCGATTGTCATATTAATAGCACAGACTATATGAAAACAGATAGTTCACTTAGCCGAGAACAATAGAAAAAAAAATCAAGCTCTCTGATTGGGCAGAAGACAAAGCAGTAGAGACTGTTGTACAATTTCATATTATTGTGCAAATATTTTACAATAATATTGTACAATTCCTCTATCAGTTACAAAAATTATCAATGATATTGGAATTAGTGACACTATTGCATTTTAAATACTTGAACGATAATTAATTATAACTGTTCGCATATTTATTTTGTTTAAATAACGTTTAGTCTTAATAAAAATGTTTTTTTTTTTAATATTGTCTGACATTATGAATATTGTGTTTAATTTGTATAAAAGTTGACATTTTGTGTAGTTTATTATTTCATAAATTTTTTGTCAACGTTTAGTTAGTTTTACCTATAATATATGAAGCTGTAATTTTTGGTAAAACTGTTAATAGTATTATATTTTTTATAAAATTTGAATTATTTTAGATATAATAAATAATAATATAAATTATATAATAAATTTTATATTTTTATTATTATTATTATTGTTAGCCATTTTTGGCCAAATTGTAGCCATTTTCACCGTGAAGACAAAATAAAGTCCGAAATTTTTTTTCCCCAAAATAAAGTATATTACATTAGCTTTAATTTAATATATATATAAAAGCGTCAGTATTTCCGGAACACTTTCAAAAGTTAAGTTGAAAAAGTTAATTTTTTGTGAAAAAGTTGTCATTTTGAATTCCCCACTGTGGGCTGGTAAAGGGTTAAATTTATAAAAAAAATATACCAAATAATAGGTAAAGACATCAAATATCTATATAAAATTTTCATTTTTGAAAAAGTTATGGTAGTGTTAAGAAAAAAATGTCAAAAATTACTGATTTTTAAAATTGTAATTATTTTGGAGATATCTCCCACTTATGAGGAATGAAGGAAAATTTTTCAATTTTTGAGGGTAATGTCTTCGACTAGATACGATTTGTGATCTTTTGACGTATCATTGAAAGAAATCGGTTCGGTGAGAGCTGAAAAAAACAAGGTAACAGACACACAAAAAATAAATAAATTAAAGAAACACACATCATAGTAAAATTAATACCTTCTCAGCTTTGCATCGAAGATAAAAAATACTGACCACTAAATATTGTAGGTACTGCATCATGACCAGCCGATTTTTTGTAGTCTTTTTCAAAAACATTTTATCGTCAAAATGATCCGCGCAAACTACTAGATTATTTTTTTTTGGATAAAGTCTCTGCCAAATGATTAGTTTGACAATTATTCATCCATAGTTTCAAACGATCATTTTCTTTAGGATAAGAAAAAAAGCTTTTATCCTTGAAGGAATATGTACCTGGACAAAACTTTACTGAGCATCGCATACTGGTGAGGTAGTGAGATATTTTGAAAGAAAGCACCAAATATAACACGAAATAAGATACATGTTATCATTGATAACATTAACAATAACAATTGTTACTGCTCAAGTCAAATTTAAGTAGTTAATAATTTACATTATAAAAACTGATAATTATTTAATTTTCATGACTAATTTAGGGATTTTGAGTCATAAATAAGGGATTATGGGTTTAATACCTTAATTTAATGATGTATTAAAATAATTTATGTCAATAATTATGTTTATATACGGAATTTCATAATATTTATGCTACAGCAGATTTAATAATGAAATAAATAATTTATTAATTATTAAAAGAATTTTTGCGCTCATACATATGGTTGCACTGATTTCACTTCTCCAATCAAAAAACCGTTTTGTTATCACAAGTGCGCGGTGGCTTAGTAGTAAGGAATATCGCTTGGGGTCGCAGGTTCAAATCCCGTACCGGTCTCTCTTTTTCACCCAATTTCCGGTACACTTACATTAACCGGCCGTCAATCCCTAGCGTTAAAACAATATTTTATTCTAGTGATCACTAAATTTTTCTGATTCTTTATTTAATTTATGTACTCATTATACTTAACATTAAACCTTATAAATGTTCTGCAAGACATTAAATGCAATAAAATAAATAAAATACACTACGTCACTATTAAATTGTCACAATAATGTACATCGCTCAATATATTATAATAAAATACGCGTATGATGTTTTTGTTTTTTTTTTACCAAAAAAAAAAATTAATTAAAAAAAAAAACTCACGGTTTTTTAACATGTACATCACTGTTGGGAATTTAAAATCAAAAAAATCAGTGCATGTTAAGAGTAAAACTTCTTTCTAAGTTATTCAACTGATAGAATATTAGACGTGTATTGGAATAAAATAAAAAAATATACCTAAAAACTTA